TCAATGCCTCTAGACAGGAACTTAGATGTGTTTGGCCATTGAAGGAAAATTCTATCAAATTATGATGAAACACTTTCTCCAGTCCTAAAGAGTATGTCAAATTCCTCCTTGAACACTCTTAGGAAGTCAGTTGGATCGCCCCAGCCAGAAGCAAATTACAGAACTCGACTACTCATAAACTGAAGACGTGTCTACATCCCATTCTGCGATATTGTGTCTCTAGCTCCTTGGTATTCCTGTTGAGGTTTTTGTTGTGTTTAAGCTTAAGTAAGTAAAGGGGGTGCATGAGTTGTTCAGATGCCATAAGGCATTAGGTCACCTCTGAAAAGCCTATAATCTGATGACTTAAGATCCGATAATATGAGGCGCTCATCATAAGGTTTGAATTCGAGTCCTCGAACTGGTTTCTTGACCTGCCTTCGAATACATTCCAGTCTACTCTTAGTGTTTTAGAGTGAAGGGGAAAACACCATACTTTCATGGTGAAAGGGGCCCAACAAATTTGCGACAAGTTACCATAATAAAATGAATCCCTTTAAAATTGCTTGATGGAAATAAACAGTATCAATATGTGCCACTCAGCTGGACTAGTTTTGGACAGGCACGGTCACTCTATGAAACCTATTACTTCTCGTAATGAATATAGGATTCTATCCACGGCCCAAATGCATTCTTTCAAAAGTCTTAAGATGCATACAGCTGACAGTCACAATAGGATGGGTCAGTACGAACGTTGATTTGTCGGATGGTATAACTGAATTTTCTATTCTAGCAGTTCACTCCGTCTCGACTAGTGTAGGTTTATACGCGTTCACCCAGTCAGGAACCAAAAACAAGATAACTCTGGGAAAAATGGTTCTATTTTATTAAATATGGTAATACAGACAATTACCAAAACAATATTACACCTTCGAGTTCCCAATTACCAAATAGGTATCCGTTTCTGGAAGAATAAGTGCTTCCAGTCCGTTACTGCTAGGGTATCAAATCCAAAAATGGCTGTAGCCATATTAAATATCAACTTTAAACAACATATGTACAGTTCAGAAGGAAACATAAACACTTCAATATAAGCACAAGGTATAGAAATAATAACAATATACAACGATAAAATCTCAAAATGGAATCAAATAAAGTACCAAAATGTGAACAGAAAGAGTCAGTCATATCATAACACAAATATATACATGAAGGGATTTTCCAAAAAACAAACCCTTCAAAATAGAGTCTACAGATGGTAAGTGAGCAATTACAAAGTAGGTACATCATTCTAGTAGTATAGATAAGTGCTTTAATACCTGTTTAGATGTAAATCCTACATTTTTGCACAACGAACCTATTTATCGTAAGGTAGAGGTGGATGAAATGGCTAGTTGATGGACACTGTCTATGCCGAATTTAGCAGGGTATTCAATAAGGGTCTGCAAAACAAACTCCTCTTATAGCTGTAAAAACCGGAAATTGGCGAAAATCCACGATGGGTCTAAGACTACTAAGTAGGCCATACACATAAAATGATAATAGATTCTGAATGCTCCTCATTTAAACCAATACGTGGTGTAATGCCAAAAGAATCTGTTTTAGGTGTTTTCACTGTAGACGAACTCCCAAGTGTTTTTAACTCCCCAATATTCCTTCATGTAGATCACTTCAAAATTTGACGGGTGATAACGCAGAATTCAGATGAAAGTGGATTTAAAGCTGATCTATACATACTAGCTAGCTGTTACAAAACGCTGTCCATGACTGCCAACTCGATGAAGTGCGTTTAAATGCGCATTAGAGGAACAAATATAAATAGCTACAGCACCAGGGAGTCAGCTCACTAAAATTCGGTTACAACAACGAGGTTCAGAACCCTACGTGTTTTGCCGAAATGGGAACCAAAATTGTGGTGTGTGACTGACCGCAGAACTTAAAAGCAGAATGTGTTGGATGAGCATCAGTGTCATCCGTAATTTACGACTGAAGAGACAAGTATCGGATTCGCATTTATGGCTCGGTCTTGGAGTCTTTAGGATATGTGGAAGAAGATATCCAAAATAAGCTTGTATTCAAACGGATAAATTTCGTGATGTGTACTCTTTATAACAGAAAGAAAGTTCTGAAAATTTCGCCAAAGCTTTGTGATGGACAATTTTTTTATTTCCACGCTGTTTGGCTAGGTGTTACATCTAATGTTTACTCAGGACTCTTGTAACTATTTTTTATGTTTCTGTCATTAGTATTTGACCTTCATAGATGCTTACTTTATTATTCTGATTGTTGTTGCTGGTTGACGAGCCACTGACAATCAGGTAGCGTTTGACTAAACTCAAGGGTACGGCATAGTTCCACGAACGGTTGTTGAAAAGGTTGCTCGAATTCTTGGACCTCATGTTGATGAGAGAACACTGATTGATACTCCTATACCGAACTCTTATTTATTAACCATTCCTACGCTGTTCTTTTTGGGACAAACCTCTGATTGTACAGCTCAGGATGTACCGTTTGAGATGTTTTGTAATTTTCATATAATTTTCCTCTTTCTTAAATTAGGACAGTTAAATACAGCACAGAATTTGTGTTCTGATACAACTGATCATTAATCACTCAGAAACACTTCTTTTGATGTACAGAATAATGCACTTTGGCTTAACAGGATAAACCTTGGTTGGTTACCCCTGTGCTCAGACTAAATACTGGTAATTTGGTCGTTACAAACTTTTTGGCTGGTGGATTATGTGATCTTCAACTAAATTGTCTATCCCATCTGGGCTTTCGTCTTTGTTAACTACAGTTCGTTCACTAAATTATGTACAATCTTAACAAAGTCTAACCCCGAGAACTGCATTCGGGCTGTAACTCCGTTTAAAAAAGTAGCTCCAATGTTTATAAAGAAGTTCAAAGGACAATGAGTGCTGAACAAGAACTGAATAAGAACCTACTACAATCACGTAGCTTGCTTTTCATATGTATAGAGAGAGGGTATAATGTAAGTTTTACCAGTAGCATAAAATAATCACTCAAGCTGCTGCTTTGAAACCGGTTTTTAAGTGAACGATTAGAAATACGAGCCTGACAGGTCGATCGTTTAGTGAGAGAAATATACACGAAAGAAGAATTTAGCACTCAAGAATTAAAATACCTATGACAGTTTTTTACTCCATCGACCAGGTCTCTGTCTGAGTGATGAGGATCACATTTCCGTCCAAATTACTATTCACAGTAACAGTGATAAACAAAAAAGATGAGGAAAAGGACTTCTAAAACTTCTAGGGACATAGCCTACCGTGAAGAGAGAATATGAAAACAATTACTGCATCTCATGCTCGTTACCCGTCAAGACTAATGACAAAACATCCAAAAAATGCTTCCATAGTGGCTGAGTTCACCGTTGCTGTGATAATGCAGTACCTACACAGTACTACGAGTTTACGTGAAGACAATACAGTCCTAGGTTCGAGTGTATTTGCCCACAGTGACGGAGAAATAAGCCAAGGAAAATAACAAAAGAGGGGCGTAGGACTCCACTGAAAAACAACATATCTGTCGCCGCTAACATACCTAATTAGCACAATAATGTCCACCAAAGAGGTAAACGTGGCACCCCAGGGCTCGAAAACGTGGTCATCGCATAACGCTCAGTGTTAGTTATTTTATAACTAATTGTAGTTATGTCATAACTAACCAATCAGATTGGTTAAGCGCTCACCACGTCATCTAGTCTGACTGATCTATAAACTTTCTTTGTTGTGAATGGTCTATCGA